GTGAAGCAGTCTATAAGTCTAAATGCAATTGCTATTGCTATTAAAATAACTGACTTCATGATAGCTATTTAAAAGCGCTGCTGCTTTAATAATAACAATGAGCTGATGTACCGGCCTCTTCTAATCTGATGTCTTCCAAATACGTGAAGCAGTCTATAAGTCTAAATGCAATTGCTATTGCTATTAAAATAACTGACTTCATGATAGCTATTTAAAAGCGCTGCTGCTTTAATAATAACAATGAGCTGATGTACCGGCCTCTTCTAATCTGATGTCTTCCAAATACATTGAATTCCACTTTTAATCATTTCCAACCACTATACTCAGAGGGAACAGATTTCGAGGACCTAGGCTGAGAAAGGCAGATTTAGTTTCTTCTTCTAAGAAAACTCTTCATAAAGGCAAGCATTAGCAAGCTGTTGCCGTGCCTCCATCTACCATCTGCTTAGAAGTCATTTTACTGATTGGCCTTGGCAAAGCAATTGAGAATGCTTTATACAGATCTAACAATTAACATACTTAACATTTGGTCATGCATGCTTATGTATTTTCTAACAGCTTCACGTCATTCCCAACTGTTTATGCAATCTAAATATCACAGTGAGAGCATGCAAGTTTTATTTTTTTAAATGTGGGATATACAAGAACAGCGAGAGCATTAGAAGAAAGGGGAAATGCATTTTTGAAGCATTTAGGTTTTATTCAATAAGCTCAGTGACTGGCCATTTTCTCCCATTTATCAGTTTTTATTAGTTTATAATGTAGCATACAAAGAAAATACAAAAGTAAATAATGGGAAAAAATAGGAAGGGAAAGGGGAAGAGAAAAGTGAGGGAAAGAAAAGGGAAAAAAGAAAGAAAAAGCATTGACTTGCCATTTTCTAACTCTATAACATCCAAACTATTTAAAAAAAATCAAGGATCATTATATGACTAGCAAATGCCTAAACTAAATGCCTATATATAAATGTGTGTGTGTGTGTGTGTGTGTGTGTGTGTGTGTGTGTGTGTGTGTGTGTGTATTCCAGCATAACTGTGGAACACCTCAAGCAATTTCAACCAAAGTTGGTACACAGATGACGTACTCTCTGGAAACAAATACTGTGGGGGTAAGACACCCCTAACACCCCTCAGGGGGGTGTTCTGTTACAATACAGCCTGTTGTGTCTTCAAATGGCTTCTACTGTACTGCCATAAAGTGGCTTCTACTGTAAAGCGCAGTGGAGTTGCCAGTTTCACAGAACTCCACAGAACTCCTCTGGTAAGGGGGAAAATCCAACATTAGAAATTATGTTTAGTCTGGACATTTTCCCCCTATAAATAAATACCCGGATAACAACAGGTTATCAGCTAGTGCTATATAATTACGTTAGTCAGGGATTCTAAAATGACCCAACTTCTAATGCCAGAGAAAATAACTGAAATCAAACACAACAAAAAGTATTCCCATTTGGTCCAGATTTTATGCTTACATGCATTGGAACGGAAATCTCTTGAGCATTAGTGCCAGGATACATTCCATTTTTAAAATTGAGAAATAATAAGAGCCTACATCTGAAACTTGGGTTGAGTTATCTTCTGCTTCAAACTTCAAGGGGTTTTTTAGCAATGCAAATGCTTATGGTGTTTGCAGCAAAATAAGTTGCTCTCAGAGAAAAAGCTTCTTCTGCTTGTTGCATTATGCCTGCTTTCTTCTCTCAGCTTTGGGACTGGGACATGTGGATGCGCATGCCAGAACAGCGGAAAGGCCGTGAATGCCTCATCCCAGATGTGTCCCGTTCGTATCACTTTGGCATTGTTGGCCTCAACATGAATGGCTACTTCCATGTGAGTTACCCTGCTAAACTCAAATGCAGGAATAGCAGCTCCTGCTCATATCGTTATTTATTCACAAAATAGCCTGTTTAAGTGTTGAGAGGTTTCAATTGGAGAAGAAGCACAGTTAGATTGTTCAGTTTCATGTGCTTCATTGCCTTTCAGGCAATGTCTGCCAATGGCAGCATAATTTTGGAAGGAGGAGAAGGTGGGTTTTTTAATAGTCTATGCTAGTCTCCCATATTAGTATTCAAAGGCCATTATAAGTAAATGGAATTCCTCTGGATGGGCAAAGTAGATTTTAAACCTTCACCTTATAGGATGGAAGAAGCCCTCTTGCTTGTGAGCACTCAGAAAAATTGATTAACTGTTTTAGGCAATAGAATAGAGGACTAGACCAGTGATGGCAAACCTTTTTGTAAAGGCATGCCAAAATTGCATGTATGCGTTTCTGCCCACACCCACAATTCAATGCGTCCCACCCACCTGCGCATGCACGTGCGACCCCCCCCACGCATGCACGCATGACACACACACACAGTGGGAGGGGAGTTTTTACCCTCCCCAAGCTCCAGAGGCTTTCCTGAAGCCTGGCGAGAGCAAAAATGGCCTCTCCCAGCCCCCCCGGAAATAGGTTGTTTCCAAACTTCCATTGGGCCCATTTTTCACCCTCCCCAGGCTCTGGAAGCTTTCCTGAAGCCTGGGGAGGGCGAAAAATGGAGCCAACAGGCCAACCAGAAGTTCGGGAACGAACTTCTGGTTGGCCCATTGGGCCAGTTTTTCACCCTCCCCAGGCTCCTGAGGCTTTCCTGAAGCCTGGGGAGGGTGAAAATGGCGCCCTCCAGCCCTCTGGAAGGCCGAAAATCAGCTGCCAGCTTGCATGCCAGCAAATATGGCTCCGCGTTCCACCATAGGTTTGCCATCACGGGACTAGACTTACTATAAACTGACCCAAGAAAGCAATCAATATTGTCTTCAGTTGATTTATTCCGTAATCCCAATATTTGCAATTTGTCCTTTTAGTCAAACATCGATAAGTAAAACTCAGCAATTTGTTCACTATATACAGCTCTCCCCAATGATTGCTTTTGGCCTTATCAATGAAACAAATGAGATGGTTTAGCTGCAGTTGTTCTTCTTTGGACAATGATGGAAAATATTTTCCTTGCAAATCTTTCTATGCAGCAGCAGTATCCATGGTGCTCTCCCTGCTGTACTTTGGCGGGGTGGGGGGGAGTGGAGGGCTAGGGTAAATGATACTTGAAACTGCCTTTTTCCCATTCATATTTTTCTAGGAAGCCTATTTCAAAAAGCACAAGTTCAACACAGTCCCTAATGTACAGCTTAAGAATGTGGAGAGGTAAGTTCAGTACGTAGAGAATATGGAGAACAAGCAACATGGATACCTTCTGACCAACCCATAAGCTTTCTTGTGTAGGCAACTCTTTAATATGAAAGTAGCCATACTAGACTACTTGAGGAACATGAGCAAGTCAAGATCAACCCTAATATAATATTCTTGACAGGAAACCCTACTCAGGGCAGAAATTAGATTCCCTTACCATTTTCAGACAGCAAGGATTTGGACTAATGGAGGGACTATTTACTAATGCCCAACCAAGGTAGGCTGGTAAATTATAATTCAGTGGTTGATTCTTGGCAGCTTCTGGTTTGGTTCAAACAAATATGCATTTATAAATGTTCCATATCAGTTCATGAGCACAAGGAACAAGAAGAAAGTATGGAATAAAAATAGAAGAGCAGAAATATAAGAGCCATTAGTTTCATGCAGCTGGTTAATGGTTTAATGGGGGCTTCCGTGTACATCATTTGCAGGAGAAAACATTTTGTTATGGAAAACTAAGTATACATTTACAGGGTTTGTTTATCTCTACAGTCTTTACTTGCCATTCCCTGGAGTGTTATTATTTGAGCTCTGTGTAAACACACACACACACACACACACACACACACACACACACACCCCAGTAGATTGTTTGTTTCTGAGGGTTCCTTTTTTAAATGGGAATAAAAATTGAGGCCTCTGGACAACAAATGATTTGGTAGAACTTCAACAGCAAAATGGCTGAAGTTTGACTACATATTTTTAGACCATGTTTTGAGGATCTGCAGGAAGTTAAGGATGGAAATAAGAGCAGTCCTCTTCCCCCACTCCTGCCCACTTAAGATGTTGCTGCTTATTTTTGGAGGCAGGGATGTTGAGATGGGAGAAGAAAATGCAATGCTGCAAATTGGCCATTTTTTCTGCCATTTTTTAGTTAACACAGTCTTACAGTATGCAAAATATTTCATCCCTCTATAGAGTGTAAAGCAATTCAATTTCAGTTCTAACTTTTTATTTCTCTTTCTACTGTACAGTTTAAAGAAAGATGCATATGAAATTGAACTTCATCGTCTGCTCAGGTACTTTATGTGTTAAACAATGGATCACTGAAACTGATAGAGAGGTGGATGCCTTATATGGCCTGATCTAGTGTGCAAAATGTTGGGACTGGAATTATGCAATGCTGGCAAATGCCTGAAAGGTGAATTCAGAAGAGCATTGTGGTCAATTTGGCAACTAGCATACCTTTTAAAAATATTTTGATTTTGAAATAAGAAAGGAATTTTCAAAGCCAGTTAATATTTTTTGGGATTGCATGTTCTTGTTTTTTATCTTTAATGTGACATTTGCTTAATATTATGGACTTTACTGTCTGCTTGCCCTCTGTGATCTTCTTATTTTCACACATTTCTTCAGTGAGGCTGAAGTTCTAGATCATAGTAAAAATCCTTGTGAGGATTCTTTTGTGCCAGACACGGAAGGAAAAACCTACGTAATGTACATAAAGATGGAACAGGAGGCAGATTTCAATACTTGGACTCAGCTTGCCAAGGTAATTTTCAGACAGACAGACAGACAACCTATGTATTAAAATATCTTATATTGATATGCAAGTTGAAAAAAGTATTAAAATAAATCAATATAAGTGTCATTGTTATATAGTCATTACCTGCTTTAGACAGTATGATTTAACTTATGCATTATAAGCTAATTAAAAAGCAATAACTTCTGTCTGACTTGGAAATTTTAATGATTTTAGAAAACCATAAAAAAGGAAAATTTTAAAAGTTTATGTTAGGAGCAAATGAACTTAACATTGATTCATATACCCATAACTTAATTCACCATTCTTTTACAGGACAAATTATTTGTACTTTCCATTAAATGTATAGAGTATTCTAGTAGCTGTTGCTAAGTACAAATTAATACATTTTGTAGGAATTCTTAATTTAATAACTGGCAAAAATATAACAGGATAAAAAATCCACTATTTTTTAGTGTATTTTAAAGCTTGTCTAATTTCTATCTTTACTTCTTGCCTTGCCTGTGATAAGATTGAAAAGGAATTCCTGCTCAAATTTACGCCATACCATACTACAAACCGGGGGGGGGGG